GCTGGCGTGTCGTACTCTGCAACCCGTCCTGTTTGCACGAAAAATTTGCTCAAACTCTATATCAGTAATGTAATGTGTCTGTGTGTGCTATGTGCATGTGGTTTTGTACGTGTTTGTTGTGTTTATACTTACCATCACTGAGGACCAAAACCAGATCACTATCTATTACTGTGTGGATTCTGTGAGCAATTGTGACAACCGTTCGATCTTTGAATTCTTGGCTGATGACCTTCTGTATCACTCCATCAGTTGCAGAATCAACTGATGCCGTTGCTTCATCCAATACCAGAATTCTGCTTTTCTTCAGCAAGGCTCTTCCAAGACAAACTAACTGCCTTTGCCCCACGCTCCAGTTTTCGCCATTTTCGACCACTGTCATAGCTATGCGTATTAGCAGTTTACTATAGAGAATAAGTTTGGTGTAACAATCAAAAGTAATGAGTCTGACCTGAGGCATCCAACTTCTCTTCCTTCGCACGCACCAGATGACCTAACTGACATTTCTCTAGAGCCTGCAAATTTGGAAATTTACTTTCGTTACATATACAAGTCATCACCTGTATCCTGTTCATGCTTATTTGATCAAAATAATTACCTCCCAAACATCACTGTCGGAATATTGCTCTAGTGGATCGAGGTTCCCTCTAACTGTTCCTTCAAACATTGTTGGGTCTTGGGGAATGATGCTAAGCCTTGATCTTAGGTCATGAAGGCCAATTTTGCAGATGTCGACATCATCAATTATAATGCTTCCTTCTCTAGGTTCAACTACCCTGAAAATGGCTTGTATGAGGGTTGTTTTCCCACTTCCGGTCCTTCCTACAACACCAACTTTGTTCTGTCCGGGGAATGTGCAGTTGATGTTTTTCAGAACAGATGGGAGATGCTCAGCATAGCGAATCTGCACCGCAGTTCAATGCATGCATAAGGATTGTTAAAATACTTTTTATCAGGACAGAAAGTAAGAATGCAGCAGCTAAAGCTGTGTCATTCCTAATTTTTTTTTTTTTTTTTTTTTTGGGTGCAGTATGAGCTACTTGGTGCTGAATTGAAAGCAAATTTTAGAACTTTTTGTGTCCTTGATCTTAAACCTTGTAGAGGCTTACCTGCAGATTTTTGAAACAGATTGTTCCAACTTGTGGCCAGTTGACTGGTGGCCTGCACTCTTCGATTACCATAGGTGCTTCACTTTTTAGTTTTGAGTACTGCAGAATTCTCTCGACTGAGATCATCTTATTTTCTGCGTTGCATATGTTCCATATAACAGAAGCTTGCAAAACATTCAGATTTATTCCATATGTTACCGCCAACCCTGCAATGCCTGCTCGAATGAAATTATACAAAGCAAAATCTCTGTAAGTGATATTTTTATGAGTCATAATAGTGTTGGGGTTTTGGAATGATGATGATACTCACTAGGATTTATAACTCCTTCTGGGAGGGTAACCAACAGAATCAATGAGAAGGCGAAAACAAAGTTGGAGAGCAGATTTAGTCTGAAAGAAAGCCATTCCATTGCTGACACATTATGAAACCATGGCCTGGAATGGTTGTCAATAAGACTGAGATTTGAATCACTGAATCGTTCTTGTTGATCAAAAGCACGGATTGTCGCAGCTCCTGCTAGTGATTCTGCAAAGTGGTGGAGGATCGGAGCTCTTTCTATGCCTGATAAACGTGCCAGTTCTCTTGCTGTTGGTATGTAGTATCGCTGGGTAATAATCATCAATTTTTCAGTCAATTCCCAAACACACACACACGTATGACTCATTTTGATGTAAACCATTCATATCATGTTTTCTTCATCGGTAGCATTTCAAATGAGTTCAGTTTGCTTTTCAAATCATTTTCTTAGTAGTTTATATGCATCACATAATATATTCATGATTTAAAATCTTCATGATTCAAATTTACTGCTGCAATGCTGTAATTATATGCATCACATAATATATTCATGATTAACGTTCTTATTTACATGAGGAACTTGAACTTTGAAATTTTATAGGACTTCTTCCATCCCCTTTTTCTTTTTCAGCGTTCGTATTTATATTGATTATATAAGCTCAATGGAAAATGAAGTTGTTACCTGATACCATATGCAGATTGCAGTTACTGGAATGAAGATGACGAAGACTTCCCATGCTACCTGCGACATCACTGCAATGGTCCCTAAAAGCTGTATTATTGAGAAAGCACACCAACCTAATTTGTTAGCAATTTCCAGATCGAGCACGCTTTGATCAGTAGATGCCTGCAAAATGAAATGAAGGTCCTATCAGGCATGCTCTTCTTTTTATGACACAGATACATATTCAAAATCATGCATATTTTTCAAACTATAACTTACCCGGTTTAAGATTCTTCCAGTTGGAGTTGAATCAAAAAAGGACATTGGTGCTCGGAGCACACTATGTAGCATCGTTGTGAAGAGCTTCTGTGCTGTTGAAAGTCCTGCTATTACAACTAGGGAGGATCGTAATAGCACGCAAAGTGAACTTCCAACGGCAAGTAGTATATAAATAAGTAATACGAAACTCATGTCCATGTGAGGTTCGGTCTCGCTGGTAGGAGGTGAAGCCCATGCCATCCAGTAGTTACTACCTACCTGTAGCGCTTGGAATGATGACTGTGCCAAGATTATAATTGGTACTAGCACCCCACCTTTCACGATGGTCAAATAAGACCAGTAAACTTCTTTACCTATGCTCCCTTTCTCTCTCTCTTCATCTTGTACCAACTTTCCTTCTTTTTCTGTAATCTCTAGAGAGAGACTGTGCTCTGATTCCTGTCGCGTCTGTTGAAGTTCTGCAATTGAAGTGGAGTCTGTGTTCGATTCACTGTCAGGTGTTGGATCTTGAGAAGCTCTACTAGTATTTTCAACTGTGATGATTGACTCTAGAGCTCGGCTATGAGCACCAACTAAAAGCTCAAATCCTATGTTTTGTGCCAGAAGCTCTTCGAATCCTCCAGCTTGTGCGATTTTTCCATCTTGCATTACCTGTTGAAAAACATATCAGTTACTGTGTTGTACAAGTTCCTTACAACTCAGGTTATTTTGGAAGGATATTTGAATTTGGAACTCGTCAGTTGACTTGACCTGAAGGGGAGAGAAGGAAAACAAAATGCCAATAAAATTCCGAGAAATTTAGGTTGTCGCTTACCAGAATGAAGTCTGCTGCTGGAAGAAACTCAACTTGGTGGGTGACATAAAGTATAGTCTTTTCCCTGAGAATTCCCATCATGCAGTCCTACAGCAGTAAAAAAAACTACAAAACTCACTAGGCCGTTGCTTCTAATTAGATGTTCGAACTTTAAGTTCAATCATCATTTTGTTTTTCCTGACACAACAAGTGCAGGAAAACTAACCTCAAAGAGTTGGGTGCCTGTGTGAGCATCAACGGCGCTAAAAGGGTCGTCAAGTAAATATATATCAGCATCCTGGTAAACCGCACGAGCAATCTGTATCCTTTGCTTCTGTCCTCCACTCATATTTATGCCTCTCTCTCCAATTTCTGTTAGATCCCCTGCAGAGAATAGCTCAAAGTCCTTCTCCAAAGCACATGCTTTAACAGTTCTGTCATACTTGGCCTTGTTGTATGCATTTCCAAATAGAATATTGTCCCTGATATTTCCTGTAAGTATCCATGGAGATTGAGGAACATAAGCCTTTGTACCGCTGATTTTCACTGAGCCAGAAACTTTCTGTATTTCTCCAAGAATGCACGACAGCAGGCTGGATTTCCCTGATCCGACAGTCCCACAAATTGCTACTTTCATACCCCTCTTCACTTTTAAGTTTATTGCATCAAGAGTTGTTCTGCTTGAATCAGTATCCCAGCCAAACTTTCCATTCTCTATAACAATTGCAAACTCCATCTGATCTTTCGGAACATGTTCAATGGCATCCTGCTGAATTTCATCTTCCTGGAGATAGGAAGCTACTCTATCTGCCGAAACCTTTCCCTGTGCAATCACGGAGAGTAAGTCAGGCAGATTAAATATAGGGTCTTGTAACATTCTGAAGGTGGCCAATGCTGATAAAACTCTCCCCGCTGTGAGTTCTATTCCCATAAACGTGCACGCCACGAAAGTCACCACAGAGATAAATGTGGGTGATCCCCAGAAGACAAAAGCCCCAATTGCTGACAGTCTCAGTGACTTCCACAGCCAATTGTACTCTATCTTCCTCAAGCTTTCTAACTTGTGTAGGAACTGACTATCCCATGCCTGAAGTTTAATCGTCTTCATGCTTCGAAGAACTTCTGATGTGGCTTTCATCCTGTTGTCCTTTGCTTCCATGATCCTAGTCTGGTATCTTTTCTGCATTGTAGTCATCGGTATGTTGATAAGAAGAACCCCCAAAGTTGCTGCCAATGCAGCAAAAGAACCCATGCCAAGATTCGTATGAAGAATGTAGATTGCTAATGAGATTTGAATAGGCATCATCCATATTATGTTTAAGTACCAGATGAAGTCTGTGATTCTTTGGATATCTACACTCATGTAATTGATGACTTCGCCGCTAGTGTGGCTTTGGCGGGATTTGCTTGACAGAAGTAAGCCCTTTTTGTAAATTTGAGATATAAGTGCAGCTCTAAGCCAAAGGCCTAGCTGTCGAGCCCCAAAAATCCATTGCCTCTGTGCTGTCGTCTCAACCATCTTAGCTCCTAGAAAGGCAAGTGCAAGAATGTAACCGCTCTGCAAGCTTCGTGTGCTCTTCTGACTCAGAAAGGTTACGAAGTCATCAATGAGGTATGGACCAACATATGATGCTCCTGCACTTATTACAGCGAACATTGCGTTAATTGCTGCTTTCTTCCTGATGAATAAATAGATTGTCTTGTAGATTGTTGGGTCTGTGGTTCCATCTCTCTCCTTGATAAATTTTAGTTTCTCGTCAAAAGAGCGTGACAGAAATTCAGCAGAGTCTTTGATATCAACATTTGGGACTTCATCCGGTTCAAGGGGTTTCTTGTATCCAATGACAAACAAGGGATTGAGCCAAGAGAACGTTATGAGTTGGAGAAGAGTGGCTTTTCCATATAGAGATTCTCTCTTTCCTTCAGAATGTTTGTGAGCTTTTCCGTTGAGAAGTGGTTCGGTAACGCCATTTGGGATGGCGAATGTTAGTCCTGTCTTCCCTCGTATTGAAATACCACATAGGCAGGTGGATGCAAGGAGACTTAGGAAGCCAGCATAATCTTGTAACCTAAGCTCGCCATGGTAGGTGAGTCGGAAATGAGTATCAACAGCCACGGAGATAATAGACGAGAAGAAGCTGCAAAGCCACCACGCTCTTAATAGCCAAGGGAACTTGATCGACTTACTATTCGCAATCTGGTATAATGCAACTGATGAAATTGCCCACGATACCACCTGCATGCTCTCCGAAGAAACAGGACGAAACTTATAGTTGCAGTATGTCACCCTTCCATTTAGCAACAGCACAAAAACTACGAAATGAGTGCACATCAGAAGAAGGGAACAAGCCATGCTGGTTTTGTAGGTGGTGCTGAATCGTATGCCAATGCTGCCATACTTCTCTGTGCCTTTGTCTGGGAACTTTGATCTTTGTTTGCAGATTTTACGTACAAAATGTAGTGCCAAGATGCCAAGGAAACCAAGTTGCATACCGATGCTAATGTGCTCGGATAGGCAGGACAAGTTTTGCTGGAGCCATTCTGTCCGAAATTGAAGAAGCCTAAAATCTGTAACACAAAAATATGGTTGTGGTACGTTTCTTTCCAAAAATATTCGGTTAATCATGAGAAACTTGTGAAAATTCGACCTTTTCACACTCTTTTAAAACTACATGTAATGTGATCAATGTAACTTTACAAGCAGAATAAGTATCTGTAAAATTGAACATGTTGTAACTGTTCAAGCTCATCAATGTCGAAAAGTGTTTAACTGATGTTTTATACCAAACATTTTACTAGTCTTTTTTAAATTTGCGTCTCGTTAGGGGACGAAGGAATCCGTTCGTTCTACTAGCTATCTTGTGACAGACTACAAACACTGTACAGTGAATTTGTTACAGCTTACAATCAAGCAGTTCTATAATCAGCAGTGTGTGTGTGTGTTTTTCTATGCCAATATTCTTGAAAAAAAAAAATTGTCATCTGGAAATTATAACAATAATTTAGAAGAGGGCGAAGTTTCGAATCCGAGACACATTTGTAGAAACCCAATACTCTATCCACTAAAATATTAGACTATATGCAATCCCATTAATTGTCCAATTTATGCAGATTTTCACGGAAAAATTAATTGACTATGTTGGCCTTCACCAAGTTAATTATTTGTGAAATTCCCTGTTAGAACAAGTTTGAAGAAAACTGAAGTGCTCTAACTTTGGCGGTATAGTTGAATTTCTAGGCAGGGATTATGCAAATTTTATGTCCTAAATTGCTACATTTTTTTTTTCTTTTTTTTTTTTTACAAACGATATGATAATTGTCTAAATTTTACAAAAAATGCAAGGAGATTTGAACTCAGGTGCAGAGGTTGAAGTACACAGTACGCTACTCGAGCCAATTTGGCTAAACCCAAGTCTTATGTTCTAAGTTTCTATTTAAGAAAGAATGAAACAGATTTAGCAAACTATGATTAATTAGTCAAAACTAATCATAATACTATAACCACAAACCAAAGAGGTCCAGTCAAGTCTTTAAACACAGATTAATGCATGCATACTGCTTGGCTTAGCAAACAAATTGGGGGTACCGTTAAGCTATATATATGGTCACCTATTACCAACTGGTCCAACTCTACAAAAATAGAGAGCCTATCTATAAAAGGCCCTTTGACTAAATAGAAAGAAAAATAAACATTCAGTCTTTTTTAAGATATTATTCCATGAAAAAGAAGAAGAAATTATTAAAGAAAATTAAGAAACCACTTGGCCTTTGGTGAGGGTGACGATTACACCAAGACAACTTAGCAACAAGAAAGACTACAACAACGAGAAGAAGAACAACATCTAGAGATGAACAAAATGATTTTCTTGAGAGAAATCAAATATATAAACTCTCTCTTTCTTCATATATATATATATATATATATATATATATATCATATACAACTACAAACACATATGTATGTGTGTCTGTATCCATGTATACATGTATCTATGAATATTTTCATGCTTTTTGTGCAACTGGTGGAAAACGATATTAAAACTTACTTATAATGGCACTCCGAAAACCGAGTATGTGTTCCCAAGCCATGCTTCTCCAGCTTACAGCTTCTCTCTCTCTCTCTCTCTCTCTCTCTCTCTCTCTCTCTCTCCCCTCTTGCAGTTTAGCCTTAGGATTCTGAGAGTAAGAACATATGAGTGTCCAAAACCAAATTATATAGAAAGTTGGAAGGTTGTGGCAACTGTGTGTGTGTGTGTGTGTGTATATATATATATATATTTATTTATTTATATATCAGAGGAGAGTTTCATTTGAATTTTTGGATCGATCACAACGTACGACAATCAAGTTCTTCAACTTCAAGTGTCTTTCATGGTTCTTATGAACTTGATTGAGAGAGAGAGAGAGAGAGAGAGAGAGGCGATTGTGTGTTTTATTAGGGAAAGGGTGTGGGCAAGATATCACGTGAGAAATCAAATGGGGACGGTCGTTTTGGCTGGTTATGTGAAATGATGCGAATGTTTTTAACCAACTAAAAGGAGGCATGTGAGAAGCGAATTAATTAACAAAGCTATCTAACCTATGTGGTATATATGTTGTGATGGGTCAAATAAAAAAAGTAAAATAAGAAGAATAAAAACCTGCTACAAAGTGAATAGTGCTTTACTTGTTAGAAAATGTTTTTTAGTTGGATGGTTAATTGATTTAATCGTTAAACATAAAACGGTCACTCAATCACATACTTGTATGTCTTTATATTTAAATGTGACTTCTGAGCTGGCCATTATGCGACCCATTATTAATTATGAGAAAACGTTGTATCCAGTTATTGCATGTAAGCTCCACTAATTATTAAAGGGTGTTGTAACCTGTATATATGAATCGTATGTAATTATTTAGCTCCACTCACCCTGTGACGTTTAAAGCTGCGGAGAAAAATGGAGAAAAACAGCTCACAATTGTTCTTTTTAAAATTTATTTGGTCAAGAAGCTCATAATTATTTTACTCCAAAGCTAACAATCCACTAACGTGGAGAGTGTGGTGCAGGAAAAATAAAGCCACAAGGAAGGCTGAAATTTGTAGCTTTTTAATGATGGAATATCTTACGAAAACACAAGAAAAATTTGATGCCATTTCTGATAATTTTTGTCCCGTTCTGTTCTGTTCTTGATAAGAAAAGCAGATCTTATATTATTTTTATATATAAAATCAACAATCTTTTTTGGGGTCACAAGTTTCACCAAAATTTTTTTAACAAAAATGTCCCCAAAACAAAAAAGTTCAAAAGCAACTCAAAATAATACACCAAATAATGTAGGAGTATTTTTGTCATTTTAACAGTGTTTTTTAATAATTAATTATTTTTATACCATTTTTTTAAAATTAGTACCTTATAATTGAGTAGCAATAATGTAAGTTAATTAGTTGTTCATTTTAAATATTGTTTTCTCTATTTTTAAATAAGTTTAAAAAATCTTACAAGGCATGCAACGCCGGTTATAAAAAAGGTATTTCGCACGAGCATAATGATGTAATTAAATTAGCTGTTAAATGATTGTTTTTTTTTTTTTTTTGAACAAACGATATTATCTACACTAAAAGGGAAGGGGTGGGTTTAGCCTCACAATGAGCTAGCAATAATATGGTTTAAATTCGCTTTTAACGAGAATTGAATTTAAGACATCTCATTTACTAGTAAAAAAAATATCACTCAAATATAATACTAAGTGACTTGAATACTTCAATTTTTAAAGAATCCTCTAAACATTTCTCTATTTATTTTTACTTGTCTCTCTGTACGTATTTTTGTCGAAAGATTATTTAACCACACTGAAAATCTTTCCGTCCTTTCACAATTTATTAAAGGGATTTGGGATCCAAAGGTTTTGTTTTTTCCGTGAGAGGCCACAAGCATGTGATGTTTTGTTTTTTCCTCGAGAGGCCAAAAGTATGTGATGCGGTCGCTGAGTTTTACCTTTTTACTACTTCCTTTATTGAGCAAACCCCAGTGCAATTAACCACTAGGTGTAATTGTTCAAAATGATATCGCCAACGCATTTTTAAGGTCTTTGTATTTTTCTTCCATCAATTTTAAGATTTTTTCTATAAAAAACAAGGATATTTATTAGTAAAAAGACAACAAATACATGAAAATATGTAAATGATATGAATCTGGACGTGTCTGCAAAAGTAAAAACTCTAAAAGCTAAACTAAAGTCGACCAAATTTGCACAAACAGCCAAAAAATTGGTAACACAAAAATCTAGCCTAACATGTATTCGAGACCGCATAGACGAAAACAATCAAACCTATATTAAACCATTACCTAAGTCATGTAAAAATATGACTCCTTGGATGGGTTAATCTAATCGACACCAAATATGGGTTTTACAAAACTCATATGTCGGAGGAATTCTAAAATCGTTACGGTAAAAAATTACATTCCTATATTTACAGAAAACATTATGGATTAACTAAATCTATTCCAACACAACTCCAACGTAGAACGAACCGCATTTAACCAAGAAAGACCAGTACAATGCAGGGCATGAGAAAATCAATTTCCAATGATCCATCTATGTATAGTAGTGAATAATAGTGCATGGTAGGGACTAAGAGCCGCCATATCACAAATTTGGCCAAGAACATATGGACAAATCGCAATGAAGTGGTTTAGATTAAGAGTAGAAATAAAGTTAGATAGACCCAAAAAGTTGGAGAATGTGTTTGGTGGAAGGATTGGAATGACAGATAAGCACGAAAAAGGTGATTGGGTGTTAAATTTGAGCACAACTCAAACTAATTCACCACAGATTTAAGACCCAATCACCTCTTTCGTGGTGAACACTGTAAACCCATATTCTTTAACCTTTCAGTTCTGCTCTGCAAATACACGCAACAGAATACATAAACTTCATCCATAACGTAGCAAAATCTATACCTAAACCAGAACATCTAACTGCCCTACTTAAGCCCTAGCTACATAAAAATTGTAATCTTCTGTAGAACATACTTCGTAAGTGTCGAAATGTCAGCAACTGGCCTTGGTAGAGTGGCAGTTGTCTTCACAAGTTCACCTAGTTGGATAAAGTCTTAGGGTCGACTCATATGAACCAATATACAGACTTATGAAAATTTAATTCTTAGTTATGGCAAACTCATTTTAGGCGGGATATTGTTGTGAGTTGTTCCAGTGTAAATAGCTTTCGAAAAAACTGACTTAAAAAGAGTTCTGCAACTTCCAAATTTCTGTAAATTACAAAACACCAAACACTCATGAGTAAATGTTCATATTCAGAAATAACTAATGGAACCGGCATGTTAGATTACGACCCCATGAATTATGTTGCCGTATTATTGACAACTAATGGTCCTTCCATCCTCTGACAATTACTAAATTTGGAGTGTATTTTATGTTCATCACTTTATTTATTACCATTGGATGAGTTTAAATTTTGAGATTTATATCTATCCATTATACAGATCTCAAAATTTAAACTCATATAAGAGTGATCAATAAGATGGTAATGCTCGTTTGAGAGTGATGAGCAAAAATATTCCTCTTAAGTTTGGGAGTTGTTGAATTACTATAACAAATCGGAATTTCACCTACAAGTTTGATCACTAGGGATACCTGTGAATCTATGATCAATTGCTACACATGCTTAAGTTTCTGTGTTGTGTGTATGTGTGTTTCTGTGTTGACTGGTGGATTTAAGTCAGCTTCATTTGACTGGTTGGTTTAGGTAAAATTGATATCTGATACAGCAAGAGTAATCCATTTTCAGCCTAATAATAATGATGACTATTGCTTTTGCTGATTTAGACGAGAGAGCCTTGGCTCGAAGAGGAATTATTTCTCAAGATCTATTTTTTTGTATAACCTCGGCTGAATGACAGAAATTTTGAGATGAGAAGATAAAACCGTTACACCTCGTTATAAACTTTGGTCTCATAAAGTGAGAAATTATTTCTTGAGATACTTTGTGATTGATTCACAAAACTTATGATGAGAATAATTCATATTATAAATTTCTTGTAAAGATTACCTTCATAAAAAAATCAAGTCGTTTAGTCAATTTAACTTTAAAAACAGATGTTTTTTTTGGCAACAAATTTTTTTCTTGTAAGCCTACCAATGCCAAAATAAAAAACTATAACTTCGCCGCAGGTTCGGCATGCAGATTAAATTATATGAATTGTTTTTTAAATTTATATGATTGTCAAAGCTTTTTATCAACCAAAAAACCAAAGAAAACTTAGGTACGTAAAAAGTGGCACACAAATATTAAAGAGAAAAGGCAACAATAATTCCATTCATTTTAAAAGTAGCACTTCCACTTGACAGTACTCGTCCATGATTTAGCTAGAGACATGATTGACTGCGAAGGATTTACATTTCGATTGGTGCCTCTTTTGCTTTGACAAATAACATCAAAACTTTTTACTGCTAAAGTGTTTTATTAGTCGTATAAACTTGTTTGTCTTCCAAAATAGGTAGGACCTTTCGCAGCATCGTATGTCTATCGAACGCAAGATTCAACGTTCCTCCCAAAAGAACAAGGCCCTTCAATCAATCATTCGGCACTCAAAGTTGAGGGTTGGTTGATTTAATAATTCTTCTTCTTCTAGTAAAGAAAACTGAAGATTCGAATTTAGACGTCTTCTTTGATCTAACTTTAGGGCTATACTTATTTAGAAAGAATGGATTTTTTTTTTTTCCACAAACGATATTAGCTACACGTAAAGGAGCTGAGGGAGCCTAAGCCTTACAATTGGCTTGCCATTTGCCATAATAATGTGGTTAAACTTCATTTTTTATGAGAATGGAACACAATACTTCTCACTAACAAATGAAGAGAAATATCATTAAACTATCATACTAAGCAGCTAAAAAGAATGGATTTAATTATAAAAGAATATAAAAAATAAATATTTTTGGGTACTCGTACCTGAAAAATCAAGGTATGAGATTACAATGGGAAGGAGGGTTGTTTTTCCTATTCTCATTCTTTTATATTCTCATTCTTTCACGTGACATGTAAATATTGCCTAAGAATATAATTAGGCTTTTTAGCTAAAATGGTTCCTGAGATTTGCATAACTCCTTATTTTGGTTCTTGAGATTTCAAATCAATAGAAGTGGTCCTTGAGATTGTCCATCATTCATCATTTTGGTCCTTCCGTTAAAAACTCCGTTAAGAGTCTCGGAGCTCTTGGCCGGAAGTTTGAGTAACTTTTAAAGCTTTGTAAGGTAATCGTTTCTTAACCAAATTCGACCAATAATATATCAAAATGAAGATAGGAAAGTGTAGAATAAGATTATACCTATTTGGAAGACCAATGGTGCCGGAGATGGT